CGACTTTATCAACAACCTCATGTACAGTTTGACATTCCCAAACTTTGTCGTCACGCCTCAAGGCGCCCAGGCAGTATGGCGTGAAGACGGCGGCAAAGTTCGTGGGAAGGGCTGCCAGCGAGTTGAGAAGACGGAAAATAACAATACCGTGTGGTGGTACTATGGACCAACTCACCCCAAGACCCAGAAGTCAGTGGCTAGAATCAATGAACTCCATCAGTACTGGGAGAAGCAATACCCAGGCAATTTTTCCCACAACAGCGATTACGTTTACACAGCAGCGTTCAGCGCCGTCCTCATGCACCGTTTTCGTCTCCGTCTCGGCCTTTCAGGCATCAGCGAAAAGGAGAAGATCGCGAACCACCTCTTTTGGCAAGAGATGTGCAAGTATTTCAAGGCCGCAGGACCAGATGGAAAAGTCAACGTTGACCTTTACGACTTTCCGAAAGATTTCGACGGGTGCATCAAGTATTGCGAGGAATTCGAGAACACCCCCAAAGAAGGCACAGAGCAAGGCCACTTGATAGCGATCGGCATCTACGAGCAGTTCGCCTTTCGTTACTTTCCCCCCATGCTCCGCTGGTTCGGATATGCGATGCCCGTTGCGCTATCTTTGCCTACCACTCTAGCCACACACAAAGTCAAGCCCGTGAACCCCGTTTTGAAAGCTTTTATCGTCTGGCTGGTTGGAATGTTCTTCTGGATCTCCGCTTTCTTGGCCGACCCCAAGGTTTCATTCACCGAGGAGATCGAGGGACTGTCGAGAGAGGAGAGGACGGAAAGAGAGAAGCATTTGGCTTCAATTGACAAGCAGTACGCACCGTACTTTACCAAGAAGCACGTGAATGATTGGGCTGGGGCGACTTGTCCATATCACCAAGCAATGACGAGAGGGGTGGATGGTTCAACTGCCAAGTATGGAGAAGTCCCTCTGTCGTAGTAGTCATTATCTATGCGATTGCATTTTACGTTTTTTATGTTTATTAAATATAACATTAATATAAATTAAAATTAAATCGATTCGAAATATATATTTTATATCATTTCAAATATATAAATATATTCAATAATAAATTATATTTTCTAAAAGAATATATATATAACTTTAATTCAAATACTTTAAATAAAAGAAGAGATATTTTCATTAGAAAAATAAAATATAAACATGTTATGCTCTTCTCGTCCATAACAAATAACTTTCGACCTCCTTTCATAGACGATCAAGATATACTACTTGCCGACCTCAGCGAGTCTCTCTCGAACCTTCACCAAGTCATCAAAGCCGCGACAGTCACCTGAATATTGCCTTCGAAATTGCTTCAAACTCTCCAGCTCTACATTCTTGACGATACAGATTCCCTTCTCGGCGGCACTGGGGCGTTCGGATAGAGCCAGTTCGAAGTGAATAGGGGTGTCGCGTGGACGTTCTCTTCCTGTAGGGGACTAGTTGTTCACATCAAGTTCTTGTAACCGAGGTCGCTAGGCCGGTCCAAAGTTGGTTCTACCGTGCTCAGGCAAGTATTTCCAGAGCATGTCCCAAAGAACCTTGTAAGACTCGAAGGTGATAAGGGTGCCTTGCTCGAAATGAAGCTCGAGTTGTTGTATCCATACCAGGCCGCTTATCAGATCTTTGGCCGATTTACCTAGATGTTGGGATCCCCCGGTGACGCCGTTCATTATCAACACGAGACAACGGGAGTCATTGGGAGGATTTTCGAACACGTCGTTGTTTACTTCTAGGGCAAGACGGCTTAAGGATGGGGCTTGGTTGAGGTTGCCAAGGACCTCGTCGCTGATTGAAAATCTGCCACTGTACCATCCAGGCTATATCTCCAGAGAAGCCAGAGTACCTTTGTGTCGATTCCACACGTCTTGACTCAGAAGACCACTATCGGCGAGCGCTAAGTGACTCAGTGTCCGGCAGCTCGAGAGACATTCTCCCGTCCTAACTTCTGCTCCAATTTCACATTCCAGGAGCGCCAATCGCTCCAATTTTGGCACCTGGAAATTTCCGAAGAATGGATTGAAATTTGTCGAGAACCCAACAATTTCAGACCATTGAATAAGCTGTCCCCATTCGCCTTGGTTCCACGTGTGGTCTGTTAAGTTCGTCAGATGTAACTCGCGGATGGGTGGAAAAGGAGTCTGAATGCCCGTCGATGAAAGAAACGAAGGGCGCAGGGGAGCGCGAGCCCACAACGAAAAAACTTTGAGCTTCCGACTTCGCAGTATAAGCTTGCCAAGCATTCTCATAGAACCTTGAGATTCCTGTCCGTTTGGAATATGAAACTCGAGCTTAGTCATATTCGATATCCCGTTTGTGTTGAGCGCTTTGAGGAGAGTCAGGCGTGTGTGAGGTAGTTCACATGTAGTAGGTTGGAAGGAGCTTTTGTTCCGGCATACGATCTCAAACCCCAAAGATGGTTGCTGTGCAACAGCGGTCAGAATCGAATCTGGGATAGATGATCTGCCTGCCCAACTTGGCAACTTCGACGGTTAATTAAGTGGGCAGGCATGTCTTGCAGAACTTACATGAGTTTTCGCAACTTCAAGCTGGGAACAACAGCAAGCAACTGCTGTAGCTGACCTTCTGGTCCCTCGCCATGCCTCACCGGCTCTTTATCCTCTCGTTGAGATTTTCAGGACCTGCAAGACGTGGCTCAAAGAACTCGACGTCCTTTGGTGGAGGCCAACCATTGACCCGAATGGTACGGACATGTTTCGACATTGGGTAGTTTGAGCCAAATTTGCGAAGAACATAGTGGTTCCGTTGTTCTGAACCGACACCGAAAGTGAAGGTGATCTCCTTGTGCACCCACGCTGAGGAGATGATGTACCATCGCTCGCAGACTTGGGAGGCCTTCCGCAAGGAATTCTTTGATAGCTAGTGTCAATAATTAGCAAATTTCTTCGAAAATGGGTGAGTTGATGGTAGATAATGTGAAGCAAACATCGGTCGAAATTCACGAGCTCGCCAACTCGAGCGTTGACAGCGGGGTAATTGAGGGGTTCCTCAATCAATAAATACCCGCCAAGCCAGAAACCGTTCTTCTGTAACATGGTACACTGCGATCGAACTGTCTTGTAGAAATAGAATCGCGCTCTGCAGCATATCTCGAGGAGCAAACATTGACAGAAGAAGAAGAAGGAGAACTCCGAACTCACCAACTCGAAAATTAGGTATAGGACATCGTCGCTTAGCTTGGTGCCTCGATCTCTTTCGGGATCCGTTGGACTCTTGCCGCTGCCTGCAGTGCTACCCGCCATCATGGCCAAGGTGCTCAGGATGAGGGTTGGAATTCGGGAAGGAGCTGGAGATCGTGAATGCCTTTTCGTTTGCTTCTTTTGACAAGGATCTAGGGATAAATCGGCATCACGTGCAAGTTAGAAACATCTGCAGCCCCAAGTTTTCTTGCTGGCATTCAAGGATTGTGCCGTCTGCCACAGAGTGGCATGTTTTCGTGTTATACGGATGCTTTCTAAAGCGTCAGACTTGAGTAGTGCTCAGTATTTCTTGTCCCGTTCCACCCTTCGAGTGAGACCTCGAGCTTGCGCAATAAACAATAAACACGTCCAGAACTCTGGAGGAATTCAAATTGCAGGGCCGAGGACCTCTAGAGTATCTGATGTCGAAAGCAAAACATGCGGATGCAAAGTTGAACGTTATGTAACACTGCCGAATGCAAACATGGTTGAAGCTCCTGAAAACCCATTTACTTTCAATGATACCATAAAGCTCTTGTATATAAGGTGAACAGACTGAACTTTCAGCGACGGCCAAAAATTGTGGTTTCTGATCACCGCTTGATTGATGCACTCGCATCCTAAGGCAAAAATAAAGATGGAATCACCAGTGGATGACAGAATTGATGGACGCTGCAACCGAGAACGCCAAAATTCAGCAAAAGTCAGCACCTTTAAAATTCCACCAAGTCCGCATTTTCTTATAGAATTGCCTAAAACTTGCAATCACGATGATCATTCACAAGTTATACATTCTAGATT